TGTACATGATTGTTGGGAGCAGTGAGACCCCAGATCCTGAATTTCTTGTAATCCCCTGATCTGAGTGCCTACAGCTGCTCTGAGCATGGAGACCTTCAGGAGTTCCTGATGGCGGGAGAGTGGTTTCTGGTGGGTTTGGCTGGGGCGTGGCTGTCTCTATATAATCTGCCCCTAAACACAATAAAGGGGGCATTCTTGGGGAATTCAAGGATGACCTGTGTCGCTGTCTATCTGTCTGTGTGTGTTTGTGTATTTTAACCTCCAGCCCCCTAGCCCGAAGCTCGCGAACATGGTGCCTGCGCACAGAGCACAGACACGGGGGCACAGTGTGCGGCAATTGGAGGTCTCCACCGAGATATGGGCACAAATGATCACAAATCTAATAAGAAGATAGGTGGGAACAAGTGCATTAAATCACCTTAAATCATTAAACAATGACTTACGTAAAGTGCTTTAGATAAATGCTTATCAAGAAAATAGAAGGTCATCAATGATGATTCATTTGAATACTGGATTCTGTTAGAAAGGAGTGTGGAACTGAAGACCTTATGTCAGATAGGCAACTTTTCTACTTCTGAGTTATATGTCCGTTTCAGAAGTACTAGAGTATTTTTGGCTCCATGTTTGTTTCTGAAACATTTTAATGAAAATAGAAATACATTACTTTCCACCTTTACTTTCCTTCCTCCAGCCCTTTCCTGATTCCTTTCCATGTTTCTCCCAATGATTCTCATTCTAAAAATGACAGTCCTTTCTTTTCTTTATTATTATTATTACATACATATAAGCATATATATATATATATATACACACACTAACATATATTTGCTCAAATATGTAAATACAACCATTTTTGGTATTTGTGTTTCTATGGTTTCACAGTTGACCACTCTATTGGATAATAAAGGAAGTCTAATTCTCCCTCTTTTAACAATCATTAGTTATCTTACCTTTTTGTCGAAAGGTGGGATTCCATGAAATCCCCCCCCCCCAACGTTAGCATGCCCATCGATAATACCACTGTTCTGGTCTTGGTTATCCAGCTGTTTCTAAGAGTGACAGTTTCACCTCAGACTTCCTGGTATTGTCTCTTGCAATCTTTTCTCCAACTCTTTTGTGATGTTCCCAGAGCTTTATATGTGGAAGCTGTGTTGTGGACGTATCTGTTGGGGTTGGGATTACCAGGATCCACTGATCTCTACAATGTGGTTTTCTGTGATGATCTCCATTTGTAGTAGAGGAGTGCTAGTTTATCAATCAAAAATTGAGAAATTAATAAGCCTAGGAAAGATGGCTCATGTACCATCATTATGGTTTTCAACAGGATTACAAAAGTATGTTTGTGTTAGAAGCAATTATAGAGATAGCTAGTATGTCTTATAAAATACAAAGCAAGGAAAAATAAGAAAGGGAACATTGTAAAATAGAAATTAACAGTACACTCCTTAATATCTTCAGATCTCCATTAAGTAGCTCTAGTGAGAAAACAGAAACATTGAATGTCCCTTATTTTTTCCTTTTAGTTTCTTGCTTGCGATTATGAAAGTTAATTGCATTAATATCTTTAGTAAAATTTTGATGTAGGCAGCTACTAAATAGGCAACAATTCATTTGCTCAAATAATTCCATTGTCCACATGTAAGCAACATGCAGTTTATGACATGACTGTGAAGAGTAGGAAGCAGGCATATGGGTGTGCTGTCATTGGACGAAGAGTCTAATGAAGACATCTATCAATAAACACCTTTAAAAAAGGAAGTAAGGAATTATAGATTTCAATTGTGTAAGGCAAGTAGTGGAAGGTCATTTTCAAGAGTAACTAGGGAAGGAAGGCCTTCCTAAAGGTCACAAAAAAAAAAAAAGGCTCTGTGGAGAAGTAATAGTTGTGTTACAATAGCAACTGAGCCTGTGCAGTAAAATCATGGGAAGTGACATTCCAGAAGAAAGATATGAAGTCTTTAAGACTAAGCACAATTTAATATATTAAAAAAATAATGGTGATAAAATGTCATTTTGTCAAATTAGTTGCTGTCTATAAAATATCTTTAGATATTTTTCTTTATTGCCATCACAATGAAATAAGAATGCCAATACAATCTCATTTCATGAGCAGAAATACTAAATACTGTCTTCAAGGTCATGCAACACCTGAGCAGCATCACTTGAGCCAAACCCTATTACATGATTCTGTCGATCACTGAGCCACGCTATAGTGCGCTACATTTTTATCATTTTAACAGATGGAATTCACCGCCAATCTTAAATTTGGAAAAACATTTTAAATAATGTGATTAAACTGGAAAATAGTCTAGCAGGATTAATCTGTGCGATGAAATCATGATATACCTGAGAACTTCCACACTAACCCACTAACCTGGTGGGGGATTTAAGTTCTTTTGACAACACATTCTAAAGATGAGAATATTTCTGATTCTGTGAATGAGGAAAGTTTTCCTTATTTATGAATTTCTGCTTCTGTATTCTCCAGGCAGGTCTATAAAAGCCTAATTATAAGGTAAATGTACTCAATATAAAATCAGATGCTGAGCTGCCAGGAAGGAGGGGTTAGTTAGCAGTGCGTGAGAGCTGTCTAGTGGTCACAAAGACTTGAGGTTGGACAATGTTGGATTAGAGATCCAACTAGTGTTAAAGCAGTACAGTTTAGCAGGAGAAATAAAAGAAGACTGTACTAGTGGTATTTTTGAAAATCTGGTAGATATGCAGATTATGGAGGAAGTCACCACGTTCTTTCATTGATGAATTAGTTGTTTATTTACCAAGATTTACTAGTTAGGTTACTGTTTTATGATAGGGTGTTCATGAGCTAGGTTGACCTAGTGGTGTTCAGGTTAAACTCATGAGTGGATTTAAGGTTAAATATAAAAAAGTGAGTATAGGGGCTTTGATTGGAAATCAAAGAGAAAAAAGGTTAAAGTTCCAAGCTCAGTTCTTTACTGACACAATGAGTAAGCAGGAGAAAATCTGGGGTGAAATCATGTTCTTGATCTACATACCTGTTGTTGGAAATCCCAAAAATATTTGTTTTCTTTGTGAACAGTGAATCTGTGAACATGGAGTTGCAAATATCTCTCTGGTATGTTCACTTAGAGATTGTTCATGGCACATGGTACAGAAGCACTTTAATGAAGTTATAGTTTTGCTATATGAGAAACCACCATACTGATTCCCATAGAGCAGTGGTTCTCAACCTTCCTAATGCTGTGAGCCTTTAATCCAGTCCCTTATTTTGTAATGACCTACAACCATAAAGCTATTTTTTCTACTTCATAACTGTAGTTTTGCTACTGTCATGAATCATAATGCATATATCTGATATACAAGGTATCTAATTTGTGACCACAGAGGGGTTGTAATCCACAGGTTGAGAACCATTGCCACAGTGGTTACAGGTTCCTTTCTGGATATCTCTGTGTGTGATTTATGATCATGGTCATTCAGAATAGCCTCAAACTTGGGGCACTGAGCTGAACAGAGATCTCTCAGCAGAAGAAGTTCAAATGGCCAAAGGACACCTAAGGTCATGCTCAACTTCCTTAGCGATCAGGGAAATGCAAATCAAACTCATTTTAAAGAAAAGAATATGAGGGGTTCTCCTTTGAGATCCCTGAAATTTGCTCGGGTCTTCAGTTTCTTCAAGAAATGGATTTCTTAGTTACATAAGTATTTGTCTTCAGTAGTAAAGCTTGCAGCAAAGAAGTAGTGCTTTTGAAGTTAATGAGTGGCAAACATAAGGTTAGCTTGCCCTCTTATGGTCTTTCTTTTCCCTTCCTTCCTTCCTTCCTTCCTTCCTTCCTTCCTTCCTTCCTTCCTTCCTTCCTTCCTTCCTTCCTTCCTTCCTTCCTTCCTTCCTGAGAAAGGGTTTCTCTGTAGCTTTGGAGCCTATCCTGGAACTAGCTCTTGCAGACCAGGCTGGGCTCGCACACACAGAGATCCACCTGCCTCTGCCTCCTAAGTGCTGAGATTAAAAGTGTGCCCCACCACTGCCCGGCTGGTCTTTCTTTCACTTATTACATGTTACATTTTCTCCTTGTTTCTGTCCTTAGTAGGAAGATAATAGAGGTTTGTTTTGTTTTGAGGCAAGGTCTTCTGTATAACAGGATGGTCCTCCTGCCTCAGCCTCACAAATCTGTACCACAGCATCCAAATAACAGTAGAGTTATGTTTAAAGAAAATACTGAGCATCATGATATACTTGTAAATTTACATTTACATAAACTTTCTTTTGGAAACATAAAGGAACTTTTGTGTAAGTATGTGTGTGAGAGAGATCCTGAGGATCAGAAAGAGAAGAAAAATTAAATAATGGGGTGTGATAACTTTTTCCTCTTTGATATGCTTCTCCGAAGTGCCATGGCTTGGAGAGGTCTTTGATGTGTCTATTTCTCTCAGTTTTTGGAGTATGAGTCATCCGAGGTCAAGTTGCTCGCAATTAGGGGTATGGTAAAGGCACACATTTTTGTTCAAAGCTGGCACATGGTAGAAGGATTTAATTTTTAGGGCACCAAAATTCCCTTTCAGTAGAACTTCTCTGATTTGATGAAATTAGTTTTTCAGAACCGAACCCTATAATGCCATAACCTTGTCAGTTAGGATTTATGCAAATCTAAGTGTCGTGATAAATTATGTTACTTTAGCCATCGCTTAAATTCAGTTCAACTATTTTATTTTGCTTGTTTCACTATGTCATCTCTTGTAGCAATAATAAATATTTACACATGAAGAGGTTAACATTCTGAATTATGTGCTGGTCCAATAGATTCAGAAAAGCTGTTAATGAACATTGAAATGATATTTAAAATTTCATTTTTAAGCATACACATGTACGTACACTCACAAAAACATATACAAAATCAATTTTAAAAGAAGGCGGGGCATAATTATTATTAATAGTTGAAAAAGTATTGTTGCCAAGAGAATTTGCCCCCATAGCAGTGCATAAGATCTAAATGTTCACAGCTTTTTCCTCTGGTTCTGAACAGAAAGAGCGAGAACGAGGTTCTAACCTGGCCTTTATGTTTCGACTGCCTTTTGCTGCGGGACGAGTGTTCAGCATCAGCATGTTGGACACGCTTCTCTATCAGGTATACGATCTCTCTTCTTCCTTCAAAATGCTTATTTTATATTTCACTTAGATTTTAAGTAAAAATAAGTGATAGTGATATTTTGAATTTTTAACTTAAAAGTTGAGTTGAAACAATTTAGTATGCTTTCATGATATTTACTTACATAAATGCTGATATGAAACAATTTATTCAAAAATATTTTTTAAAATATGATCTGCCATCATGTTCTCAGACATGAAAACATACTAAAATCAGGAACAAGACAAGGCTGTTCACTCTCTCCATATCTATTCAATATAGTACTTGAAGTTCTAGCTAGAGCAATAAGGTAAGAAAAGGAGATAAAAAGGATACAAATTAGAAAGCAAGAAATCAAACTTTTGCTCTTTGTAGATGATACGATAGTATATAAAGCGATTCCCAAAATTCTAGCAGAGACCAGTTTTTAAGTCTTCTTTGGTTTGACTTTTGTTTCATGTTATCAAGAGACCAAAGTTAGTTGTTTGTTTAAACTTCTGCCTAAAGGCTCAATTAGAATTTGAAAGTTTTGAATTAGGGCTGACAAGATGGTGCAATTGGTAAGGTGCTTGTGGATAAACCTGGGGAAAATACTTTGACCTCTGAGACCTACATTTTAGTAGAAAAGAAGCCACTTGCCAAATTTTTTCCTCTGACTTGCACAGGAAGCCTGTGGCACCCATGCACCCATATTTATACACTGATATGTAGATAAAAATATAGCATTTTAAGTTCAGAATTATATCACAGTTTAAATCCAATATATACTGCATATGTCCACATTTGAATGTATATAACTTTACAACACCCCATGATATAGAAAATGTTATTTGCTGAATTAGATTCATTTCTATTTTGGTAAACTTAATTCATTTCAATTCATTTTTTTTCTAGCTACACCTTGTAACTTTTTTATTATTTGTTTTGTAAAATACTTAACTAAAGAATTTCAGAGTTAGAAAATTTTAGAAAATAATTTATATTGTCCCAGAATTTTTGTTGGTTATAATGAATTCTGACCTGTTGAGAATGATTTTCTTCTTGGATGCTGGCATTAGACTCCAGAGCCTTCTGTGTGTTAGACAGCTACATCTCACTCCTATGGATGGCTTTTGATGATGTTATATGTACGCACTAGCTAATACCATATTTTATTTTCTTATTATTAAGTGATAGACAGTGTTATTTTAAGAAAATATGATTCTTTTTTAAAAGAGATTCTATTTTAACATGAGTAGCTTGGAAAAGAATATATGTAATAAGAAACAATAAAGGGACATCTGTAAATAGATTTTGTCTTACCATTGGCAGCTTAATCTTAGAGAAAAGACTGGTTGAAATATTTTAAATATTTATTTAAATAGTTATTAATTTCACCATTTTATTTCAATTTAGAGACTTTTGTTTTATTTTTAAATCATATAAAATATTAGCATAATGTCTTATGAGCCAATGTCAGCATATATATTATCTGTAAATAACAAGTATTTTGTATATTTCTTTAGGATCAGCTTAACTATTAATTTAGCTATTTAAGAAGTTGAAATGTATTTTTATCTCTTTTTATTGAGGCTTTGCAGAAGTGATTGAAGTAAATTTTTCAGAAATATTCATGTGTTCACCTTCCTCATTATTCGCTATCACTTACATACATAATCTATACATATTCTGCTTATATTGCAGTCATTTGTGAAAGATTATATGATTTCTATCACCAGACTTCTGCTGGGACTGGACACCATACCAGGATCGGGGTTTCTTTGTTCTGTAAGTTAACTATGTCTGGAAGAGTAGAGAATCCTAATAGAGAGTTTGGAGGTTCGCCTACCATGTGCCTTTGGTGACTCGTCTATAATCACATTTATTTTCTCATGTGTCCAAAGTGTTATATCTGAGGCTTTCTAATTGAAGAAAACTCTTTAAACTTTAAATCCATTATATGCTGTTTTCGTGGACTCAGAATTTCAATTAATATCATTCCAAAAAAATTGTATAAAATTGAGTAGAAGTTCTCTCTGACAGTGTTGACAGTTTGACAATGACCTATCCAAGACTTGTTTGCTACTTTGTCCTTAAGCAGGACTCTGGCATTAACTCCATTGTTCCATTGTTACCTCTCCCTCCCTATCTGTTGATATATCTCTTTCTGAGAAGTGATCTTCTTGTGTTGCTCAGACTGCCTTTCATACACCTGGAGTCAAAGAATGCTCTACTCCAGCCCTTTTAATATCAGGGAGAACAGGCTTGTGGCATTATATCTAGTTAAAACTTTCTGTTTTATAGTGTAGTGAATTGCTAATGGTTCAAATGTCCAAGCAACTAGGGGAGATGAGAAACTTGGTTTCCTGTTTGTAGCCCTGTGTTCCGTCTACCATAGGTTTGCTTGTGTACATTTAGTAACTCTGGTGCATGTGGGGTAGGACTTTTATTACTAGAGTTCTGTACCTTATATTTTTAGCTTTAGAAAACTCTGTCTACTAAGTGTCAGTGTCAATTTTGTCATAACATCATCTTGAACATCTCCACACTGTTTACCCCATCTCTCAGGTCACTACCAATGTTGTGTTGCCTACTTTTATTGCACCAATATAATTTCATATTGCCCCAGACTGACTATTTAACATTTCTTGACTTTGGATGAACTCCCAGGATAAGCTGAGATGTAGCAAAATAAATAATCCTAATGAATGAACAAGCTATTATGAAATACTGCTTGGAAACTTCAAAATATATATGGATGCGGCTTTTCAGAAGAGAAAAATGACCACTGGGTTTTTTATTCTTAAAAATTGATTGTGTGAATCATACATATGCATTATAGATGAAAATCACTGAAGATGACTTGTGGATCAGAACATATGCCAGACTCTATCAGAAGTTGTGTTCTTCTACTGGAGATGTTCCCATTGGGATCTACAGGACAGAATCTCAGAAACTCACTACATCTGAGGTTTGGAACTATAAAAACCCTTTTGTTGTGTTTACTATGATGAATATAATTCTTCATAAGGATAATAACTGATTTCACCCAAATGCAAGAGGAAGTGAAAAGGAGTCCTCTATAAAATCACAGTGTAAATTTTCAATAGCTGAAATAGCAGCATTTCACAAAGTATTGCTGGGTAGAGGTTTTTCCAACATTTGACGATATTGGGTTCCAGCCTCCTTTTCTAGATCCAAGATTAACCACTGGTAGAACATTTTAAAGAATCACAACACATATGTCACCCTAAGATTCTGAGATAGAAAAAAAAGTCTCCAAATCACCTATTTTTCTAATATATTTTCTGATTGCATGTATTAGCATTTGGATGGAAGCAAAGCAAGGAAAGTCATTAAGGATCAAAATTCATGTTTCTCCGTTTCTACACTGAAAATAATGTAAATCCATAGAAAAGTCTAAAAACAGAACCTGATTTCTTAAGGAAAGAGAATAATTTTTATCAGGAACTAGAACCTGCTAAAATGGAATGATTTTGATGACCACCTGCAACAGAGAATAGATTTTGAATTTATCTCATCTTTTGGTTTTGGGTGAGTTTTATAATCTTAGGAAAATCCAACTCTTTAAATTAGATTATTTCATGACATAAATTTTTGATAGATATACTATCCTATATCTCATATATATGTATATATATAATATTTCTTAACATAAAATTTAGTTCATATTCTTGAAGTGTGTCTTTTCAAATTCCAAAGTTATAATAAATTACAAACACATTTTGGCTAGCTGAATCTTTTTCTCTTAAAAAAATCACATAGGGTTCACATCAATGATCTTCATTTTATCAGTCAAAGTAATCATTGAAAATATGATCAAATAAAAAATTTGCACATTTTACAAGAAGTTAACATGCATTTAAAATAAGATGGTTTTTGTCTAGTTATGATTATATATTTACATAGATGTGTACTATGGCCATCTGAATGTTTTTTGTGAGATGTTGTTAGTTGCTCTATTGTTTAATATGTATTCATTGCCACCTTTACAGCCATATTTAAGTTTTTCTTTGAACATAGACTCTGAGTTGCACGTCATAAAAAGCACTTTCAAGGAAGAAACCTTCCACACAATAGTTGGCTGGAGAGACATTCAAGACAGGCAGTGGTTCAGCAAATATGACTACAGATTTTAGAATAGATACAGATATTATTTAACTATACTGTAAATAAAAAAACTCTTGTTATATGTAATTTAACAGTTCCTTAGTTTTCTATGATTTTCATAGTAGCATACCATACCTTCAACAGTTTATAAAAATGGAAACTTTAGTGGTTGGGAAGATTGCTCTGTGGTAACAAGTACATACTGCTCTTCCAGGAGAGGGTCATGGACTCCTGTGCATGTACTCTCACATAGAAACATATTCATCTACAAAATATAAATAATGAAAAAGATATTTTTAATAAAAACTTTATTCTGACATTTTAAAAGACTGTCTAGCCTAGAATCTCCATACTAGTAGGTTTGTTGTCTGGGGAGAATCTACTTTGGATTTCTTGGGAATTTGAACAATGTGTCTTCCTCAAGGCAGAAGGAGCAAGGTATTCAGGGATCACTAGAGCTTTCATGACCTATTCACTATCTAGCAGTGCTGTCTCCAAACACCCATTCATTTTCCTGTGGCTTTCAATTTCACATATTCTTTAAAAGTGGAACATAAAAATTCAGTGTAATACAAGTATTTCTGAATTGTTGGTAGTGATTACAAAGTAGATCTCTTTAGACTGTTGATGTAGTCTTTACCTTTATGAGAGCAGAAAATCTTCAGGAAACTTCCTGAGGATAAGTTGCTCATAAATGCATATACAATCAATTATAAAGTAAGACATTTGTAAATTTAGTAAAATAAATCTTTATCAACAATAAAAATATATTATATTAATAGAATAAATACCAGTCCCTGTCTTGTGTAGCTACACAAATTGTAGTTAATTATAATGTTCCTGAATGTTAGTTCAGGCTGCTTTTGTATGTACTATTACTAATAGTGTTTAATGCAAATGGTTATTAACAATATTCTCTTTTCCACAGAGTGGTTCACTTACTTTCTACCATTTATTTTAGTATCTATTATACTTAGCCAATTTTAGTCATACTATTTCTGCTTCATTAAAACAATCTGAGGATAAGGACACAGAAAAAAAACATAGTTTACCTGACTTAGATCAAAAGTTTTACAAAAGTAAGCACATTATTGCATTGTGAGTGTAATATGGCTATATGTTGTATTTTGTCCTTGTTGCTGTTCCTTGTATGTACAGTTCAGTCATTGTCTAAACTGCATTTTGTGTATTTCTTTTTCCCTCCATTGTGTCAGTCTCGAGAAATAGCATCGCAAGTAAGTATCGTCTGTTTGTTTCATTCCTCAGTGTAGAATAGAAAACTAAATTTAGAAGTGCGTGTAAAAAATATATCATGCCAAAAGGTTCATCCCTACTTTCTTTTCAAGTTAGCGTATTTTATTATCCACAAAAGATTGTTAAATAGTATTGCATTTGTCTTTGGACTGCATTTATTAATTCACTTTGAGGCCTTTCAGAATTTAAATTTATCAGTTGCATAATACTATAACAAACACTGAGAAATTAATGACCATAGCAACCAGCAGTCAAAAAAATTTTTTTGTGTTTTTTTTAAGTTCATAGTCTGTCCTGACAGGATTATGGTGTGTAATTAGTTTGCATCTATTAAAAAGTTCAGAGCAAAAAAGCATAACTTAAGATACTAGTTGAAGCTTTGGAAAGACACTAAGAATAAAAAGGCATATTAATAAACTAAGTACTTTTTTCTAGATTTTTATCATAAGAATGAAATTCCAAGTTGTACTTACAGTTTATTATTTTGTTTATTAAATTTTATAATGGAAGACTTTTCAAAATGTTAGTTTTTAAGCATCCTGAAAAATAGTTGTATTTTGGCTTTTCAAAGTCTACAGATTAAGTAGAATTTAAATGAGTGTCCAGAGAACTCCGATCTTGTTTTCGGGTGTCTGTGATTGGAGACCTATATGCCAATCTAAACAGATAGATTTCGGGAGCTGCTTTACTTGATGAGACGTGTAATAATGAACTAAGAATCTCTTTTAGGGCATTTCAAGTATGTAATATATTAATATTAACTTCATTCACAATGGCTTATGCAACACACTCAGAGGTTATAGATGATTGTACCTTGAACTAACATTTTACAATTCCCACATTTCTTTCTTTTTTTTATTTCTTTTTTGTTTTCTTTTCAGATTTTTGTAAGTGTTGATGGCTGTCATTCGAAGCTACCCAGACCCAAATAATCACATAGAAACTATATTAAGTATAAGACTGTTTGTCCAACTGCTCAGGCATATTCCTAACTAGTTCTTACCTCTTAAATTAGTCCATTTATATTAGTTTTGTGTTGCCATGTGGCCATGGCATTGCCTCATCTTCTATTTGTCTTGTTTCCTTGGTGACTGGCTGAAATCTGCTTGACTCCACCTATTCTCTATATGTATCTCTGTTCCAATTTTCTGCCTGGTTTTACTCTGCTAAGCCATTGGCCAAAGCAACTTTATTTATCCACTAACAAACACAAAATATATACAGAAGGACTACCCTAATAGTCTCCCCTTTTCTGTCTAACTATAAAGGAAGGTTTTACATTTAACATGGTAAAATTTACATATACAGTTATTAAGCAAGAATTATAGTTATAATATTTAGTCTATTTACATTTGGAAAATTAAGAAAAATACTCTATCATCTATCCTATCTTTGTGAGCCTAAAGTTTGGTATCTAATTTTTATTTTATCATAAAAAGGAAAAGCCATAATTATAACTATCTATTCTTTAACCCTATCAAAGACCCCAGAAAGATATAATACTACTTAAGTAAACAGGAAGTGCATATATAAGCAACTTCCAAAGTTACAGAAATGACAGACATCTAACTTCCTGGACAATCACCTAAAGTTCTTTTGTAACTTTGGGTCATTCATCTTCAACTGTGGGAATATAATGTCTGACAGACTCTTCAGTGAAACAGATCTATTCTGTCTTATAATGGCAAATTTTGTCAAATGCTTTCTTCTGTGTCTTGAAAAAAATATCTGGCAGTTTCTTCTATGAAGCAGAAACCCTGAGGGATCATCCTGTCTTTTGAAAATTCATCATTAATTTTTCTGTGGGTCCTGTTTGTCCAGTCATACAATATACCATCAAGCAGTCCAGGCAAGAGCAGTTTTTTGCCCAAATGGATAGCCTTGTCACAGTGAAAGCAAATTAAAAGTCTATTTAATTCCCATCAACATTTCTACAGTAACTGGTGCTGCCAGAAGCAAGTATATCTTACTGTTGAGAAAAGCCTAAGTTCTTAAAACATTTTAAATTCTATAGGTCTTTAAGTGTTGGAGATTATCTAACTGAAATATATCTCTTCATATCTAGAAAACTTAATTGACTACAAGTTTGACTATTATAAATGATTATCCATTAATCTGTAATTTTTAATTATATATTACATTTTAAATGAGAAGTATAAAAATAATACCTTAAACAAAAGAAGTACGTATATTACAAAATTGACCTTAAATTTGTATCAATAAACTAAAACCAAAGTCCATGACAGTGTAAAATAGGCATTTCCATATCATATTCGCCCCTTTTAAAGAAAGAGATTGACTGTGACCATCAAGCATTTATCTCCAACCTCTTTTAATTTGAAAACAAATATTTATAAACAATCCTTTTAGGAATTCTGGTGTAGTTTTCTTTAAACTGCTTCTTGCTGTTTGTTGGGCAGGTATTTTTAGGGTTCACAAAGACCTTTCATGGGATCTCGTTCCATCAAATCACATTAACCTTGAAGGAATCTACAGGTTCTTGTCCTCTGTGAGTGGGGGGGAACACACACACAAAAAAAAACCTCTTTTCTAAAATAACATGTCTTTAGATTCAGATTTTGAAAT